TTTGCACTACACAAGTTCTGATAAACAGTAGCAAGACACTCCAGAAGACTCTGAAGTGTAGGCTTTGATATGAACTCTAAAGAAACCAGTCATAATATTTGAAGACAAAAGTTCTACTTAAGTCCAGATGCTAAAGACTCATGTTTCTGAAGACAACGTGTTATAAAGAAACTAGTCAGAAGATCTGAAGACAGAAGTTTCTACTTAAGTCCATATGCTGAAGACTAGTGTTTCTGAAGAGAAAGGGTTCTAAAGACCAAGTGTTGAAGATTCTGAGAGAAGAAGTTATAAAGACTATGAAGACTTGAAGTTCTAAAGACCTGTGATTCTAATAAAAGGTTTCTAAAGACCAAGTGCTAAAGACTCTGAAGACAGAAGTTCTAAAGATTCTAAAGACTTGAAGTTCTAAAAGACCCAAGGTTCTAGAAAAGGTTCTCACGACCAAGTGCTAAAGACTCTGAAGACAAAGTTCTAAAGACTTTGAAGACTTGAAGTTCTAAATATCCAAGGTTCTAGAAAAGGATCTCAAGACCAAGTGTTGAAGTTTCAAAGATAAGGTTCTGAGTGAACAAGTTCTGACGACTGAAGACTTGATTATCTGGAGATTCTAATGTTACGACTCTACTCATGCTTCAATCATTTGATGAATTCAAGATCTCAATTGGTTCTACTGGAATTTAGATTCAAGACTCTCAAGATCTCAAGATCTAATCTATTAGAACCAGGGGGAGTTCTACTCAAATGGTTCAGAGTCAGGACATTTGGTTTTCATCAAGTCATTGACTCATGGGGAATTTCATAAAAAGGATAAGTATTCTTACTCTTTTTATTTTTACTTTTCTGATTATATAAAGAAAATTGTGTCATCAAAATATATAGTTTTATCATCATCAAAAAGGGGGAGATTATAAGAACAAGATTTGGTTCTGCAACATTATCTTTGAGTTTGATGATAACAAATAAGTATGTTTTTATGAACAATTTTGATACTCTAATATTTGTTATTTTTTAGTATTTAATAAAGAGGATTTGCTTCTGATGGATGGCGTGGCCAAAATATTAGAAGATAATTAATTTCTCTTATGCGTTACACAAGTTCTAATGAACAGTAGAAAGACACTCCAGAAGACTCTGAAGTGTAGGCTTTGATATGAAGTCTAAAGAAACCAGTCTGAAGATCTAAAGACAGAAGTTTTACTTAAGTCCAGATGCTAAAGGCTCATGTTTCTGAAGACAACGTGTTATAAAGAAACCAATCAGAAGATCTGAAGACATAAGTTTTTACTTAAGTCCAGATGCTGAAGACTAATGTTTCTAAAGACAAATGGTTCTAAAGACCAAGTGCTGAAGATTCTGATAGAAGAAGTTCTAAAGCCTCTTAAGACTTGAACTTCTAAAGACCTGTGGTTCTAATAAAATGGTTCTAAAGACCAAGTGCTAAAGACTCTGAAGACAAGTTCTAAAGACTCTAAAGACTTGAAGTTCTAAAAGACCCAAGGTTCTATAAAAGGTTCTCATGACCAAGTGCTGAAGAATCTGAAGACGCAGTTTTGAAGACTCTAAAGACTTGAAGTTTTAAAGATCCAAGGTTCTAGAAAAGGATCTCAAGACCAAGTGCTGAAGTTTCAAAGACAAGGTTCTGAGGGAGCAAGCTCTGACGACTGAAGACTTGATTATCTAGATATTTTAATGTCATGACTCTACTCATGCTTCAATCATCTACCTACAGAAGCCTTTGAAGCTTTAAAGAAAAATGTTACCGTTAGCAATGATAAGTACACCGTACGAAAAAGCCTTATCCCACTACCTCTACACTAGCCTGAATTATGGAAAAGAAAAAGATGTAGTTGTACTATTTTCAGCATTGTGTAACGACTCTTTTTCAATAGCAAATGGCTCTATTTTGCTTGGCTATATAAGAAAAGGATCATATGCTTAAAATGCGTGTGTTCAATGTTCAAATGAAAGTTGTCATTATTGGAACACAACCAAAAATGATCAACCACTATAACAAAAACAAGAACAACTATTATCAAAATGATTCTTGAATCATGTTATTAATGATTACAAGATAACAATGATGTCATTGATTTAAAATGTGCTTAATTTGATATACTGCAAAAAGCTAGCTAAGCCGCTGAAGATAAAGAAGATGAACATGGAAGCTCTAATTACAAATCCACAACATGAATGGTGTGCTTTAAAGTGATCATTGAATTAAATAGAACAAGGGCTGCTATCCAGAATGTTCTAAGATTACTCAAGATGAAGAAGTTCTTCTCTTTACTACGTCAAGATCAACAAAGCTTTCAGAAGTTTATGAAAAAGAAGACTTCAACGGTTCAAGTGCTTTGGGTTGTTATCCATGAAAAAGCTACTTGAAGAAAAAGAAGAGCACACATTAAAGCTCCAATACAATGTAATATTTTTAGTGTGTATTAGGATCTTCTAATGTACTTAATTGAGTTTACACTTGCTTGTTTAGAAGCATTCTTTTGTAAACAAACCTTGTAAAAACAGATAGGAGATTCTGCGGGATCCGCTTCTATCGAGTCAATGATTGTTATATCTGGTTGGATCATTGAACATATCATTTCAAGGTTCCTTGAGAGACTGAGTGAAGGTATGATCTCAAGAAGATAATGGTTACGTCCATTATGGTAAATCCTGATAGGAGATTCTAAAGAATCATATTCTGTTGGGTCAATGAACGTTATATCTAGTTTAGATCCCTGAATGTGTCATTCGATGTTAGTCACCGGCAATTTTCCGTGCAGATTGTAATCAGTTTGGTTATAGTGGATTAAGTCCTTGAGTTCAAGGCAAAATCACCTTGGTAGGGTGGATTGGACTAGCTCGAGGGTTTCTCAATTGAACCGGGATATATCATGTGTTCCTTACTTCTGCTTATGCTTAATTGTTTATGCTTCTACAACACATTCAAAAGCATCACTCAGCACAACAATGTTAAGAATTAAAAGTTTGTTAAGAAAGGAAAACCCAATTCACCCCCCCCCCCCCCCCTCTTGCGTTTTCTTCACACCTTCAAGAGTATTCGAAAAGTCATATGGGTCTCTGCTTTGGCTCTAAGTCTGAAGTTAAACATCCATGGTAGCTTTTTTGATAATCCATATTGTGTTGGTTTTAGTAATCTCATTTGCAATACTCTTTTTGGTTGGATTTATGGCTTCTCATGATCGTATGACTGTTTTGTTAACCTTATGGGAAAGCTCTACACTATCCTTAAGGATCTTCAACTGGCTTGAGATTTAGGCCACCAAATTATTATTTTGGAATCATATTCAAAATTTTCTACTGATCTTATTCATAAATGGGACATCACTTATCATCCTCTCGCAATTGTCCTGGTTCAAATTCGAGCTTTTAGGATGCAAGATTAGTCTTTGACTTTTAATCAAACCCTTAGAAAAGGCACAAATGTGTTGATTGGTTGGATAAATATGGAGCTCATCTTGATGTTAATCTTAAGTTGTGGGTTACTCCCCCTCCTCAAATACCACATGTGTTACTTGGGGAAGCATGGGAGTCTTGAGGTTGCGTCCTCACTAATTTTTTTCCTTGTCTTATTTCCTTGTAATAAAAAACATTACATATATGTTCTAAGTATTTCTATAAGATAAATTATACAAAATGACAAGTAAATCTACATAAAAATTTAAAATCATACATTAATTAAAGATACATCATATTTAAGGCGGAGTGGAGACTTCGTGGGCGGAGAATATGTTTTTCGTCCCAGTCTTCGAAGTGCCTTTGTAAGGACTTTGTTCCCCCTTATCGTCCGCACAAAAGATATTTCTCCATCTTTGAGGCTCCACTACAAAGACAATCCACGTGGATATCCTCATTAGTGGATGCAATTTGACATTCCTATATCGAGTATGTTCCAAATATAATGAAAAAATAAATTTGAATAGGGGTTGATGCAGAAAACATCTAGATTTTGAAACGGAGGCCGGTGTAGGCAAGAGTATTGATACTCAATTTGCACTTACTTAGCTTGTCTACTCAAAATTATAAAGTTATCTTTGTATTTATTAATTTTATTACACATTTATCTTTACGAAGATAATATATTATTTTGATAATTAATATTTTAGAATTTTAATTTTTTTTGTTTTGTTTTTACACTCTATTTCAGAGGAAAATGAGATTGACTAAGTATTATTTTCAATAAGAATCGAATTCGATATTCCTCGAACTTTCGTTCTATAATAGGACCTCGTTCATTACTCAAACTCAATTATTTAATTTTAAAATTTTGATTTTTAAATATAAGTGCTAACAATCATTGTGTTTTGTGTGTTCCTACATAGATAAAAATGGACTTTGATAATAAACAATGAGATTAACTGTTTTGCAATAATTGGTCTTAATGTCGAATATCAAGTTTAAAAAAAAATTATATTAAACACTAATCTTTTATTTATTTTATCCTATAAAGAAATGAAATACAAATATTCTAAAATAGGTAAACACGTTTTATTTTAAAAAAATTGAGAACATAATATTCAATAATCATTTCGGGTTAAATTTAAGAGTAGGGCGATTCAGAGAGGCGAAGCCAAAATTACAAATTGTGCTATGTAACTAAAAGTATGGTGATAATAGATAATTAATTAGTTAATTTAATAAGTTTAATTAAGTATTTATTCATAAATAAACATATGGCATATATTTATAAATAAATTAAGCTAAAGCAACAGGATATTGGGACCAAGGAAGAATATGTGGTAAAGGTTTTTTCCGTGGCACAAATGAATTTCTTTCTTTTTTTTTGTTTTTGTTTTTGTTTTTTTCCTTAAAAATCAATGTCCTTGCTTCACAAGTTTTTCTTCTACCTCTAATTTGCAACAAGTTTCCATTGAATAATCAACCAATACTACATAATATCTGTGTTGGAAGCAAAGTTTCAGAACAAAGTTACAACCTTTATGAGCAAATTATCACTTCCAAGTTGAAAATAAGCAAAGGGTATGATGGCACAGTTCACTACTCAAGGTCGGTTGAAGCTGTTTTTCAATGGGGAAAGTGTGTCATCTTTTTTTGAGAACAGAGACCCTTTTCAATTCAAGTGTAGATCAGTTCAGACCCACAGGAGAGGATCAAGTTACAAAGGTTCTTCTTCTGCTGCTGCTGCTGCTGCTGGTGGTGCTAGATTTCATCATTCATCTTCTTCATTTCTCAGAAGGAAATTCAACTGTTATAATGCTGAAGCACGACCCAGTGAGGGTGTTCATGATGAATATGAATATGTTTTTAAATACAATTCTCTTGATGATGATGATGATGATGATGATGATGATGATGATGATGATGATGATCTTGATGATGATGATGATGATGATGATGATGATGTGTTTGAGGGAGATGGCTTGTCTTGTTTCCGGGGTCTTGTGTTGGATATATCTTACAGGTCATTTCTTTCTCTCAATATTTTATTTCTTAATTTCTTTGCTTAAAAACATGTATTAGTTTCTGATACTTAGTTTCCAACCTTATTTAATTTAATAAACATAAAAAATGGTAATTAGTAGGTTAATTGTCCATGAAATAGTGCTTGCTTTTTATACTAGGTGAATTTGTAGCACCGACTGTTGGTCTCGTGTCTGGTGTTGATGTATGTGTGTTCATGTCCGTGTGCATGCTTCTTAGCTCAGTGTTGTGTATGTGGATGATATGAAATTATAACATGCTATTTTTTGTTGTATAGTCACCAATATCAAGACTTCTTCTGCTCAGTTGTTTGCTTATGGTTCTGACTGCTATCATCCTGCTCCAGGCCAGTCAATATTGTATGCTGGAAGCGTGCCATTTGTCTAGAGTTCATGGACAAGGTCAGATTTCTTAGCTTCACTTTGATTGATTTCTAGTTGATTTATTTACTCTAAGCCTGTTTCATATCTCTGCCCTCTATGCTCATTGCGCGTGCGTGTGTGCACATACAAAAATTGTTTTGCAACAAGAACATTTCACTTTCTTGTCAAATGAAAAAAATGATTATCTAGTTATGATTTCAGATTTTGTTTTATACAGGCTGATGTACTAGAGTATTATGATAAGACCGTGAACTCCCCCAGTGGATCTTACTATATACCGGCTGTCTTAAGGGTATGTTCACAATTATACTGTGTTTATCAATATTTCTTGTACTTCACAATTCTAAAACCACTGGTTCTATTTTCGTAACAACATTTATGTTGTTGTATTTTGTAAAAAATGATTGGTAGCTAATGAATAAGAGGAAGATATCATCTCGTTCTTATTAAAACAATAGTTCTACAAGTGACGGCTTCCCTCTCTTGTGGTCCTGGAGCATTGGCATCCTTTGTTGCTCCCCCAGACTCCCCAACATAACTAACTGACTATAAGCAAACTAGCTGAATTAACTTCTGTCCCTCTAAATACTTTACACTTGTGGAACTAACTGGTAATATCCCCTACAAACTGACAGTTGATAGATGTCAACCATGCTTGGCTTAGTTAGTAGATGGTTGAAAAGCTGAGGTAACAGGGTTTTGTAAACAAGTCTACTGTTTGATTGGTGGAAGGAAGAGGGAGTAGCTTCATGAGGCCAGAATGAGACCTCTCGCAAACAATGTGGCCATCTATATCCAAATGCTTCTACATTCACTGAATACATGTTTAGCCACAATGTAAGGGCCCTGTGGTTATTACAAGAATGGATTGATTGCTTGGAACAAAGGACTCGAATGTCACTGAGCAAATACCTAAGCCGTTGTAATTTCCTATAAGCAGGAATATCAAGATAAAGTGTACTTGCTATTTGCAAGTGAGGACGCCACAATCAGCGAGTAGTACTCAAGACAATATTGCTTATGACATAAAAGAACTTCCTTGGATGAGCGAGTCGCCTCGAGGCCATGGAAAAACTTCAGACCCTCAATTTTTTATGCCAAACTTAAAGTGTAGGACTGATGGTCGCAAACTTATGCAATTAGTTGCAAGTGAGTGCAATATCATCTACATAGACGAGGAGCACAATAAATGAATCAACAACATGGTGAATGAACATAAATGATGTGAATAGTCCCGAACATATGGATATTGAAGAAAGAGAGATGAATGCCTTTCATACCATTTGCAGTTGGATCTATGAGTAAAGGGAAGAAGCTTTATGAGTGGATGGGAAAATGTTTTTGTAATAATCCACGAGGTGAGGAGGTTTTCTTTTGGTTGTGGTGGATTATCTTGTTGCAATAGGAACAAGTGAAGGATAATTGTGAGGTGCGGGGACATATTTGGATGAAGGGGGAAGAACAAGATGCTTGGTCTGGTTCTAACATAGGCAAGGTCGCAGGGTGGAATTGTTGAGAAACATGGAGAAGAAGGTTGTTGGGAGAGACTAGCAATGTGGTCTTTGTAGGGGAAGACTAGCCTCTAAAGCTTACATTTCTGAAACTAGAATCTAATTGGTGGTGAGAACATAAGCCGGAGCACATGGAATGTGTTTGTTATACAAAGTATGAACATTGAGTTTCTGTGAAGGCTTTTTTCAGATTAGTAGACTGCAAGAGGGACAACAAAGCTCTATATTCGCCCGGTGTTAATTTAGGCACAGTTTTCTCTTTTATGGAAGTAGTATTATCAATCTAGGAATCAAATTCATCACTAATAGAAGTTTAATTATCAAACATAACCATCTCCAAACTTCTACAATATTCTCCATGTTAACTATATCGTGTGCAATCGATAGCAAGACTGAGCTCAGAGTCCATGAATGAACCATGTTGTTACACCTTCCATAGGCAACGTGGAACAAGTATTTTCCGTCCAAGAAACCAGAACTTGTTTTTAGATATCACGACCCTCTTTGTAAATTTTTCTTAAGAATGGTAATTATTACACCATAAATGATGGATTTACTAATACAACCATCAGATTCTCTAGGATGAACATGATAAAGTTCACCGGATTTTGCGAGGCTCTAACAGAGCTGGCGTTGAAATATTCATATTAGAAAATTAACTTGGACAATTATGACTGTTTCTAGGCCTTGTGAGAATGGTGCAGCAGAGTCCAGGAAGGTTGTTGATTCACCATCTCATTTTGACCGAAACTATATTTCTGTGCACATATATAAGATATAAAGAGGAAGTGAGCAACTGATCCGAAATGAACTTACTTCTAATCCTCTAACTACTGTTTACATGTGGCGCAATCTGGTGTAGCAATAACATCAAACAAAGAATGACTGCAGAGTGTTTTTCTTGTTATTTTTCTGCTGTGCTACAGATAAGCTCAACATATATTTATTTTGGTGCAGATTCGTCATTTACTTCAGGCTATTAAAAGAAGAAGAGTATCGAAGAACACTCTTAGCCGGAAAAATGTTCTGTTTAGAGACAATTACACTTGTCAGTAAGTGCTCTAATATTGAACTTTGATTTAAAATATATATAATTGTGTTTAGTTCATCCCCTAAACCAACACAACCCTGCTTTTATATATTGATATTTACACGAGGATTCCATCGGAACACAACAGGTATTGCTCTTCGCATGAGAATTTGACAATTGATCACGTTGTGCCAGTTGCACTAGGGGGAGAATGGACATGGGAAAATCTAGTAAGCTAATCTTTTCATATAGAAAACACTAACTATTCGATTATTTATTGTTGTCCTACCGTTCTAAAATTTGGTATTCAAGATCATCATGATGATTACTTATATTTAATAACTAATCTGTATCGGTATTTTCTGATACAGGTGACTGCTTGTTTCAAATGCAACTCAAAGAAAGGTAGAAAGTCCATTGAGGAAGCGAAAATGAAGTTGAATAAGGTCCCAAAGGTACTCACATCTTAGCAATCAACAGTGAATATGATTTCTGTGTATGATGGCTTAGCATAAAAGAATCTTACCTTTGTTATTCAGGCACCGAAGGACTTTGACGTTCTTGCTATACCTCTAACTGCAGCAGCTCTCAGAGTGCTGACAGCAAGATCGGGGACACCAGATGAATGGCGTCAGTATCTAAGTTCCAACTACAGAACCATGAGTTAGTGCATGTTTGGATTCATGATGAGTTTGATAAAATCACGGTGCAAAACTATATTTGGAGCTTCAACAAGATTACAATGCCACTGTAACTTTGTCAAACCTATCGTGATTCCAAACATGTAACTTATGGCTATGCATTCCTGTGTGTGATGCTAGTCACACTGATTTTCTTTGCTTTGCAAGTAGGTTACTGTAAGTAACTCCAATTGATGATAATTGTAAACAATACTATCCAATATCAGGGATTGTGTAAAATTTATGTATAGTAAATTCCTGCCTAATGTATTTTATGATGGCTCAAACCTTTTCATTTGTATGTAACTAATTTGTCCTTATAATTTAACCCTCTAATCTATTACGTTTGCATACTCTTATTAGTTAGTATAATTTTTGGTTTGGTAATAATGTATCAGAATAAAAAGGTTTAAAAGCTAAATCTTTCCTTTTTTAATTAAAAAAACATCTCTAATTAGTTGTGTTTTTGGTTAAGAAATCGGATGCAAGATGTACAAAATCCAATACCATGATATTTAAAATATGGGGTCAAACGGTCAAAATAGGACCACAAAATTTATTTCTACCTACTTGATACAACTACACCCATTATCATGTGGGAGGCAACCATCGAAGGAAGTGTGTGGAAACCGGTAATCGAAACTGTGAGAAGTAGATTGGTATTATGGAATAATAAACATCTTTCGATAAATGGTCGTATTATTCTCTTAAAGTCAGTTTTATTTGCATTAGTCATATATTATCTCTCTTTCTTTAAGGCTCTCACAAATATTATACTAAAACTTAAATATGTGTTTAAGAACTTTTTGTGGGGTGGAGTCTAGAGCGGAGGAAAGTGAACTGGATCAAATGGAATAAGATTTATCGGGAAGACTGGGATAAAGAAACTTTAAGGTGTTCAATTTAATGTTATTAGGAAAGTGGAAGTGGAGGTTACTCACAGATAAGAACTTGTTGTGGGTTAGACTGTTGGAATGTAAGTATGAGGGGAATGGGAGAGGAGGAGCTAAGACTGATAAACTTAGTTCTCTGTGGTGGAGAGATATATAGTTGTTAGATAAAGAGGAAGGAAGATTTAAGAAACTTTGAGAATAACCTACTTAAGGATGTTGGAGATGGAGCATAAACATATTTTTGGGAGGACCCATGGTTGAAAGGAAGGAGTTTAATGGATAAATTTCCGCTTTTGTATAGGATGAGTAAAGAAAAAAAGTGAGAGAGGTAGTTAGGAGCGAGAACCAGAGAATTGGGAGAATTGTAACACCCCGATTATTTATTTAATTATTTTAATAGATTAATTATTTGATGTGTATTTTGTGCGTTAATGAGCACTTTGTTGTGACTTATTTGGTGCAATAGATGGTTTGATGATATTATATGCGGGGCAATGTCGAATTAAAGTAGTAATGAGAATTATTCTGAATTTAGATAATTTAGTTGGAATTATTTGGATTTTAAAATAATTGTTTAGGATTTATGTAATAATTAAATTAGATAATATGAGTAAAAATAATGAGGACAAGATGGTCATTGGTTGAGGTTTAGTGAGGGTAAGAATGGAAGACCATAATAGAGATCTAAGGGTTAAACTAGTAATAAGGAACAATTGAGGTTGAGAATAATCATTCTATACGGTCAAATTTTTGGAGAGATGAGAAAGCAAAGAGGTGAAGAGAGTTAGGCAAGAAGATTTCATCGTTGAAGCTTAGGAGCTGTCAATCCAAGGTAAGGATGAGGTTCCAACTCTCTAAGGGTTTGTATAATGATGATTATGTAGGAATAATCTGCTCATCACCATTGGTAGAGGTTTAGGTTTAGTTGGGGTTTTGTGATAATTTGTTGGTATGGTGAATTAGTGATGAAATTGGTGAATTTAAGTGTGTGATTCATATGAATTGGTGCCTATAATATGTATGATGATGTGTTGTTATTGTGGCACGATAAAATGTTGATTTTTTGTAGATTAGGAGTTGTTCTGATGTGAAATTATATGTAATTTGGGACTGGTTCAGTGCAGGAATCGCAACAATAATGTTGCTGTCAGACACGCTTCGCCGGGTAGTTTGGGGTGTTACAAGAGTAATCCCGAGGGGGAAATGCTAGGAGTGAGGAGGAAATCAAAGACTTGATCATTAGAATTTTACTAAGGAGAAACGTCAAAGACAAAGTGGGGGTGGTATAAGAGCGTATATTCAGTTAAAGATGCGGATCACGTGATCATGGAGGGGCAAGTTGAATCACATAAGATAAAATAAGGAATTGGCGGTTGTTTGGAACGAAATTGTTCCATTGAAAGTATCAGTGTTTGTGTGGAGATTATGGAAAAATAAAATTCCTAGTAGAGTTAATTTAGTTAAGAGAGAAATCTTCGTCGAATCTCAAAATTCATGCCTTTATGGTTGTAGGAGAGGGGAAACGTTGAACATATTTTCTTTGAATGTCCTTCAGCTTCCGTTGCACGGAGAGCGGTTCTAAGATGGTTAGATTTTCTGCATGTCTCTCATAACTCTACTATGCAGAATTTTGTTCATTTTACAGGGATTAGCAATGGAGGTAGAGTGCTGAAAGATAGATTTTCCACCATTTGATTCGCGTGTGTTTGGAGTATTTGGAAAAGAAGGAATAATATGGTTTTTAGAACCACTGAGTCAAATGGAAGAACCTGTATCGAAGACATCTAGATGCTTTCATGGAAGTGGTTAAAGGAGAAGGTACATGATTCAACTATGCCTTATACCAATGGATTACGAATCCAAAACAATGCATCAGTTAGATATGTCAAGAGTAACTGAGTTTCGGTGTTTTATACGAGTGGTTGGCAGGAATACTGTGTTTGGAGTCAACTTCAGTGCCTTTATGGGGGTCTTGCTTCAAAAATCCTGGTGTCAATTGATTTGTCCATTGGAAAGAGTGGTTATTTTAGTCTGGATGTTTAGATTGTTATTTAGTTTTCATTCTTGTGGGTTATTATATTTTTCAGGAAGCTTTTCCATGTCTTCAACGAAGTGACTGGGATTTGAAGTATATATGTGGCTTGGTGGTGTTTATGTGGTTCGCGGGGATGATGTTCTGTTGTGTCCCTTGGTTAGAAGTTTCTTGGTTTGAAAGGAGTAGTTTTGGTGTCTTCCGATCTATGGATTTGGACTTTCTGTGACCATTCAGTCTAATATATTGCAGTGGTTAAATATTTTTTTGTAGTTCTGATGTGGTTGTCGTATCGTGTGGGATATTGGTATGGGAGTCACAGTTTGTGTTGGAGGTATCAATATCGGGTTGTAGCGACATCTAAGTTTTTTCTTATTTCGTTATGGCATATCTGGAATGCTTTTGCAAGTGGTGATTGATGGTGCTGCATTTTGGAGTTTTTGATGGAGCTTGCAGTTGCTGGTTGGTTGGCTAGAGTGTCACTTTGTGAGGCATTGGTGTTATCTGGTTTTGCAAGTGGAGTTGGTGCAGTGATTTAGCTCCAAGGATGGTGGTACTTTGGTCTATTAATATTTTTAATTTGTGTCGTATGTGTAAGAAGAGTATTTTTATGTAATTCATGGTTGTTTGTGATCTATTCTGTTTTGGTGTATCTTTCGGCATATCTTATGCCTGTCATTAATTTTATTGGATTTTTAGAAGAAAAAAACTACACCAACTATACGTAACCCCATAACATAACATCAACTATAGATTGAAGCGATTAATCTTCTCTCCACAAAGTGGTCCTTGTAGCGGTTAGTCTCTAAGTTCCAGAAAAATAATTGAGCTCAATTTGGTTTAACATGATAACCAATAATCTTTTGGGATTTTAGCAGGCTGGTCTTCTAACGTATGATTTTAAACAGGCTAGCCATGAACCAATGGTAAA